GAATGGTTGAGAAACTGTACCAGAGGTGAGATCTTGTTTGCAAAAATGGCCACAATTGTTCTTCAGCCTGTATCCTTGCAATTAGATTTTGGTAGCTCCTCTCAGTGGATGGCACTCTTTTCTTGACCCCATGAATCTGGTTTTGTGACTTGATTTTATCAGTAGAATGCAGCAGAAGTGATAGCATGCCAGTTCTGAACCTATGCCCCCAAAGACCTGCATGCTGCTGTTTGTTCTCCTGGACCTCTGCCTGGGTTGTGTGAATGTGCTCAGGCCGGCCTGCTGGAAGATGAGAGCGCATGGGAAGGAGAGATGACTTAGACCAACATAGACCACGCAGCCCGGAGCCAACCTGACTACAACAGAATGAATGAACCTAGTCAAGACCAGAAGAACTAACAAGCAGGGCCCAGTCCAAATAGCCCACCCTTGGAGTCATACACAAAATATATGGTCACTCTCTGAAGCCATTCAATTTTGGGATGGTTTGTTATGCAGCAAAAGTTGACCGATGCACTTGGTGTAGAGGAAAGTTCAGTGGCATTAAGGCCAGGTATTGCGAAGCCAGGAGGGGGAAATCTGGGCAGCTTTTGAGGAAGTGCAGGGCAGTGAGATGCCAGGGCAGCTGCCACCCCTCTGCACCCTCAAGGCAGGCCAGGAAGTGCTGAGCGGTTGGGTATCAGATGTCGGGGACCCAAATTGCATGCAAGCAGAAAAAAAAAAAAAATCTAACGTTGTTATTTATAGCAAAAACCTAAACAGGGAAGCTCTGTCAGTTTTCTGAATTACTGACAGTTGCAGAAATGTTAATACAAATCTTTATAAGACTGGCCAGATGTTCGATATTAAGCAAGCATCTGTTTTGTATAAAAGACTTTTTATGCCCCCTGCACACTGTCTCTCTCTCTCTCTCCCCTTCTCACCCACCTTCATTTGTCCTGATCCCAGGCTGGATCAGGGCAATGGCTGAGGGTAATTGCCTCAGCTATAGTTTTATTTAGTTTCTGAATGCCGGTGTCCATGGTGTCAAAAATACACCCCCAAAAAAATAACCCTGGGAAAGGTTAATAATGGCCTTTCTGGTGTCATATTCTGCACTTTATGTGTTGTGGTAATTATTATCATTAGGGCTGTAAGAATGTCTAGTTATCTTTCTTAATCACATACTATAAAGAAGTGCTTCTGAACACATATCTATTATTTAATCAAAATCTCACAGTTATTGGCATTTGTGCTCCACCAGGGCTGTGTTTATTTTCTGTTTGCAAGGAGGAGCATTGCCTCCAAGAAAAGAGGGGGTCCCGAGTCCATACCCACTTTCATTGCTGTCATAGCATGTGACACTTGGTGCTATTAATATCGGAGACACCAAACACGTGTTATTACTCCCCGCTCCCCCTTCTGACTGCACTCTAGGAAAAGCACTTTTATTAACAAATAAAGGGGCAAACACATGCCACAGATGAATCTTGCTGCCTGGAAGAGGAGATTTAGTGGGGCTGAGACCTGTGGGATGTGCTGTTTCCAGAGAGGGAGAGAAAAGCAGGTCGGTGGGGGCATTATGGACTCCCTGTGGTGGCCACCTTGAGGTGTGCTTACACATTACTCTGGAGGGAACTGCTCCTTGGAGGAAGGGGACTAACCCCTAAAGGGGGGCCACTATGTTCTGCTTGTTTTGAGGATCCTTCAAACCTCACTTCTCCTTCGTAATCCCCACAAGGACCTGATGTGGTTTGGATTTGTGTCCCCGCCCAAATCTCATGTTGAATTGTAATCACCATTGTTGGAGGAGGGATGTGTTGGGATGTGGTTGCATCATGGGGCAGATTTCCCCCTTGCTGTTTTCACAATAGTGAGTGAGTTCTCATGAGATCTGGTCGTTTAAAAATGTGTGGCACCGGCCGGGCGTGGTGGCTCAAGCCTGTAATCCCAGCACTTTGGGAGGCCGAGGCGGGTGGATCACGAGGTCAAGAGATCGAGACCATCCTGGTCAATATGGTGAAACCCCGTCTCTACTCAAAACACAAAAAGTTAGCTGGGCACGGTGGCGCGTGCCTGTAATCCCAGCTACTCAGGAGGCTGAGGCAGGAGAATTGCCTGAACCCAGGAGGCGGAGGTTGTGGTGAGCCGAGATCTCGCCATTGCACTCCAACCTGGGTAACAAGAGTGAAACTCCGTCTCAAAAAAAAAAAATGTGTGGCACCTTCCCTCTCTCTTCTTTCTGCTCCAGCTGTGTAAAACACACCTGCTTCCTCTTCACCTTCCGCCATGATGGTAAGTTTCCTGTGGCCTCCCCAGCCATGCTTCCCATACAGCCTGCAGAACTGTGAGCCAATTACACCTGTTTTCTTTATAAATTACCCAGTCTCAGGTAGTTCTTTATAGCAAATTGAGAATGGACTTATATAGACCCTGTGCAGAATGCATCACTGTCACATTTTACAGATAGGGAAATCAAGGCTCTGAGAGACTGACTTCCTCAGGGTCACATAGCTTGCGAGCTGGAACTTGAGGCTACTGCTTGCTTGATTCTGAGGTCTATGGTTTTATCATAAAGCTATCCATGCTTCCCAGCCAGCACTGGCCAAGACAGTGGCCACTCACCTTGTGTAGCTACTGAGCACTTAAAATGTGACAAGTCCAAATTGAGATGTGCTTTAGACGTGTTTTAGATACAAAACACTCACTGGATTTCCAAGACACAGTACCAGGAAAAAAAAAGACCATTCATTAGTAACCTTTAATATTGATTACATATTAAAGAACATTTTGTATAATACATGTTGCGTTAAACAAACTATATGATTAAAAGTAATTTCACCATTTTCAAAACTTCTTAAAATGTCACTGCTAGAAAATTTAAAATTACATCTGTGGCTTGCATTTGTGGCTCACATTATATCTGGACAGTGCCATCCCCGACTGTAAATCTCTGTGTGTTTCTTCAACAGCAGTTTGTCCTATTGCGTAAGAGCAGTGCTGTTCAACTGGGGGCAATTTTGTCCCCCAGGAGATGTGAGGAATGTTTGGGGATGTTTTTGACTGCTACAACCTGCAGTGGGGAGGGTGCTACTGTCATCTAGTGGGTAGAGGCGGAAGATGCTGCCAAGCATCCTACCACACACAGGACAGTCCCACGACAAAGCCTTGGCCAGCCCAGATGTCACTTGTGCTGAGGGTGAGAAGCCCCAGTGTGGAGACATATCTTGTATATTTTGTTCTCCTGCTGGGGTCCCCAAGGATGTCGGCGAGGATCTAAGAGAAAGAGGAACAGTGCCATGATGGTGTCTGTATTGGTAGTTTCTCCCTCAATTTCCCTCTAGGACACCCTTCTTCTTGATTTTTTCACAGAGTTAAGGACCTATATCTGACGATAATTGTCACATATCCCTGCTATGTGGCCTGTATTTTTTGGAAACATGTGCAGGGGTGGCTGTTTTTCTTCAATGGCATTTTTTAAAGTAGCAAAATTCTTCTTTCCAAAAGAACACACAGTTCATGTGAGGGCATGAAATGCTGTTGGAGATGGGAAGATCTGGCTGCAGAAGGGGAAAGGGGGCTGCCTAGAGAAGAGTGAAGGAGGGCTGAACCTGTGTGGGATGCAGGCTCTCAGGCAGACTTGAGGAGGAGGTCTTTAGGGCTGACATGAGCTCCGGCTAGGAGAAAAGGCCCTGGCTTGGGACACCTGCAGCAGTGAAAATGATCCAGGTGTGTAGCAGGTTAAGAAGGTCATTTTGCATTAGGGCTTGACTCTCCTTGGGCTCTGGTAAGAGCTGTGGATTCTCTGGGCAGCTGAGGTGGTATAGTGCTCCTGAAGGAGTCAGATATGGCTGAGACAAAGCCACAGGGGCCTAGCAAGTGGAGGCCTAGGTAGGAAGTAGGGAGAACTGAGATGTACCCTTCCCACTTCGAGCAGAGGGGAAGTACTCAGAGGGAAATGCAGTGCTGACAGAAACTGGAACCTTCAGGGGCAAGCAGAATAACTAACTGGCTCCGGTTTAGGGGCTGCTGTGGTCTGGTGTTTGTCCTGTGTGGAAACTCAACACCCAAGGAGACAGTAGTAGGAGGTGGGGCCCTTGGGAGGTGATTAGGTCATGAGGGTAGAGCCCTCATGAATGGGATCAGTGCCCTTATAAAAGAGGCCCCAGAGAGCTACCTCACCCTTCTTACCAGTGCTCTCTTTTTATTTATTTATTATAATTTTTTATTATGGTGATGGAGTCTCGCTCTGTTGCCCAGACTGGAGTGCAGTGGTGCGATCTCTGTTTCCCGAGTTCAAGTGATTCTCCTGCCTCAGCCTCCTGAGTAGCTGGGACTACAGGCCCATGCCACCATGCTTGGCTAATTTTTTTGTATTTTTCATAGAGATGGGGTTTCACCATGTTGGCAAGACTGGTCTTGAACTCCTGGCCCCAAATGATTGGCCCACCTCAGCCTCCAAAGTGCTGGGATTACAAGCATGAGCCACTGTGCCTGGCCTTCCACCAGTGCTTACTATGAACCAGAAAGTAGGCCCTCACCAGACACTGAATCTGCTAGCACGTTGCTCTTGGACTTCCCTGCCTCCAGAACTGTGGGCAATAAATTGTAAACAATAAAGCTGGTGTTTCAAAGTGGCCCAGTTTATGGTGTGTTGTAGCATCCCAAACAGAATAAAACAGGACATAAATGGACCTAAAAAGGACCTAAAAATACATTTGTTATAGTTGTGTAATGGGCATATAACTCAGGCCATTAGCTTATGTGTATAAGAAATTTTACTTTCTCATTACTAGCTGTGACATAAATGGCCAGCTATTCACCAAGGATTCATGAATCCCTTCAGGAATGTCTGGGAATGGCTGTCCAGCCAGGGGAGCCCCAGTCCCCCAGCATCTAGGTAGGATCACCGACTACTTCTAAGCAACGTCATTGCCAGGCTGTGAGTAAGAAACAGATGTGTCTCTTCTACCCTCTCTGTTCTCCCTCATTCTTCTCCCTCTCTCTTCTGCAACTTCCAGGAGGCTACGGAAGCCCAAGATGACCTTGGAAGCTGCAGGCTGAAGATGGCAGGGCCGGAGTCCCGGAGCTACTGTGTGGAGTAGAGTCTCCATCTCCTGCTGACCAGGAATATAGGCGTTGGCTGTTATGTAAGTAAGGAATCAACTTCTGATGTGTACAGTTGTTGAGATTTGGGGGTTTATGTGTTACAGCTGCTGATGTTACCTTCATTTCTATTTTGAACCCTGTAGTGGGTCGAATTATGTTCCTGCCAAGAGCTATGTCTAAGTCCTCAGCCCCAATATGTGAGAATGTGACTTTATTTAAAAATAAGTTTATTGAATATGTATTGAAATTAAGGACTATGGTTGAAATCATCTTGGACTTAGGGTGGGCCTTAAATCCAATGATGAGTGTCCTTAGACAGAAAAGGAGGAAATGTGGAGAGACACAGAGAAGAGCTGATGTGAACCCTGAGGCAGATATTGGGGCAATGCATCTGCAAGTCAAGGTTTGCCCCCAGCAGCCAGGAGATGGAGTATCACTCTGTCACCCAGGCTGGAGTGCAGTGGCACGATCTCGGCTCACTGCAACCTCCACCTCCCGGGTTCAAGTGATTCTTCTCTCTCAGCCTCCTGAGTAACTGGGACTATAGGCGAGCGCCACCACACCTGGCTAAGTTTTGTATTTTTAGTAGAGACGGAGTTTCACCACATTGGCCGGGCTGGTCTTGACCTCCTGACCTCATGATCTGCCCACCTCGGCCTCCCAAAGTGCTGGGATTACAGGCATGAGCCACTGAGCCCAGCCCAATGTGTGTTGTTTTAAGCCACCCAATTTATGGTCATTGGTTAGGGCAGTCTTCGGAAACTCATCCAAATCCCATTCCACTGAGTGATGTTCGCTCGATTGTGAACCTATCCAACCTCACTGTAGCTCTTTCCTGCCCTTCTCCAGGGTTCTGACTATGTCCCAGGGCCTTGCACAGCGCACGGCATGAGGCCAGAACGCAGACCGTCTATTTCTCAGTCATTGGCTGTCCATTATGCCACTGGCTGAGATGCATCATCTTCTCTAGTCCCCAGGCTTTGACCTGCTGACGTGCAGCTGAGCCATCGCTCATCCTGACCTTAAGGTCTTTTCACATCAGACTGTATGGAATTTACTTCCACGGGCATTCTCAGCAGGAGGGGAAGAGGCCAACTCTTGTCCTGGCCACTCTGAGGCTTCTAGAATATACAAGAGATTGTCTCAGGTCCTCTCTGCCTAATACCCTGTGTAGCCATTTATACCTTAATGTTCTTTTTCCAGACTTAGGGCAGCTTGTCACTCTCCCGTCTTCATCCAGAAAAAGAGGGACAGACCCTATTGCTCCCAAGTCCTGCCCCATTACTTGCGGGTTTCTTCTGTCTCCACTCTGGTTCCTATGAAGCTCAGCCAGGTTTTGGGGGCAGGATGCTAGGGTTCACATTCCCTTTTTGGGCACCTACCAGCATCAAGCCCACTTAATTCTTTCCTGCCCTACGTTCTTCTCAGTGAAGGAAGTTTTTAGTCTCTAATGTGGTGTGGTGGGTGGAATTCTAAGATGGTGCACACACCCTTCATACCCCCTTTCCTTGAGTGTGGGCGGGACCTGTAAATAAGGCATTTACATACATTTTATAGATGTCACTGCCATGATTAGGTTACCTATAGGTTAGTTAGTTAGTTAGGCTAGTAACCTGCCATGACCAGGTTACTTCTATGTAAAGGTGAAGGGATGTTACAGATGTAATTAAGGTCTCTAATCAGCTGGCTGTAAATGATTCAAAAGGAAGACTCTCCTTGTTGGCCTGACCTAATTAGGCAATCCCTTTAAAAGAGAAACACAGTGGGAGTTTGTGTATTGAGTCCCTGCCTCTCCAAGAAGCCCAGGCTCTTTTGCTTGTGTTAGAGTTGGGGAAGTCTGAGAAATGGTAGGTGGGTTGCAGGTATTTCGAGAGGCATTCATGAAGCACTTAGTATACAGCAGGCTGTGTGTTTAGACCACAGGGCCACAGAGATGGGTGTGAGTTCACAGCCAGAAGGAGAGGAGAGTCACATAATAATAATGATCACCTTGATTGAACACGTCTTACTTTATGCCAGGCTCGACTGTAAGTGCCATGTATTAGCTCAGTTAATTCTTCCCATGACCTTGCCATGGAGGTGACATTATTATTCACAGTTCATTTTCACAGATGCAAAAAACAGAAAGGTTGGGTAACTTGCCCAAAGTTGTGGAGTCAGGCAGTAATAGAGCCAGGATTTAGGCAAACTGGTTCCAAAATCCACACTCATGACTGCTGTGCAGGACTGCCTGTTGGGATAGAGAATAAAAACATACAACATATTGTTTTATACAAATAAAAACATATTTTGTTTCCCTCCCCAGAAGCAAAATAACCTGGGTCCTCTTTCTTCTTCTCTGGCAGGTTGACTGTATTTCACTTGTGTACCCACAGAATTTTGTTAAGATAAACATTATAGAAATGTATCTACGTTCACAGTTTGTGGAGAAGAGGGTGTATTAGTTTTGTAGCAATAATGTTAAGCAGCAAAAAATCCAAATCTCCAGGGTTTTCTAAATAAATATGGGTCTCTTGGGTCTCTAAGGGTCTTATGGCCTTCAGTTCAGATCCGCTGTTGTTCCACGTTCGGGGCTGAGAATGCAGTGACCACATTGGGCATGCCTTTCCTTGCAAATGCCAGCAGCACAGGAGCAGCAGATCATGCCGTGCTCCTAAATGCCCCACCAGGAACTGTTACACCTCCCACCCATGTTCCATTGGTTACAGCAAAGTCACCTGGTCAGGTCCACAGCCAGTGGGGTGCGAAGTTGACTCCACTCCCAAGGAAGCCACAGTGAAGGCAGGGAAGGAAGGAAGACTGGTAAGAAAATGACAGGTGGCTTCCAGGCACTGATGGGAAGGGGTTTGAACTCAGAAGACAGGGAGAGATGAAGCTCATGCAGAAGGACGGGTCCTCCTGCTGAGGGCTCGAGGAAAGTGGGTGAGATCTGATGCAGATGCCCCTTAGCCTGTAGGCGTGGGGGCAAGAGATGGCAGACGTTCCATCTCAGGCCTCTGCTTTTACTTAGTGGGTGAGTCATTCCCAGAGGGTGAGCGGAGGAGGCCAGGCCTCCAAAGAGTGTAGAGAGGATTCCAATTGCAGCTGGCTCTGGGAATGTGTAAGGGGTGGAGCAGGGCCACAGCAGGGATTGCTGGGCAGTTTTGGGGCCCTCTTGAAGCTGTAGAAGCTCCTGGCCTCAGGGTGGAGGTTTTCTGGCCCCCACCTCCGGAAATCTTCCTGTTGAAAAACGGTGATCTCTCTTCTGCCCACCACACCAGCACTGTCTCTCGGTTTGGGGGTGAATAGGATGAGAACAGTGGCAAAGCAGTTGCAAAGAGAAGTTCTACATCTGGCCACTGGTGAAGGATTTCTTAAAGTCAGTGCAAGTGATATTAGAGAACTGCTTGAACTATTGCAACGGTTATTGGCAAAAAGAAGATCCGCCTTAGAAGAGTTAGTGCTTAATTACCATCATGAGTAATGGTTTGATTGATGTTTTGAATGATTTCATATCGATGGATAGAGAAAAGCCTTTGTGATAATAGATTAAATCCTTGATTTTTTTTTAAATAGACTTTATTACTATACTGGGAGTTCAAATGTGGAATGAAGGATGTTATAACCTGTTGTCTTGCAATTTTGTTGGAAAAATCATGCCTCCTCGCCTATTTACCACTTATTTATTCTAAGAATTAATGCACAGCTGTGTTCATAATCTAAATTTTGTTGACTTTATTAAAAATAAGCTTGATTTTAAGATTTTTAGTTTGGCTTTTGAAGACAAAGTGCTTCAGTCACATTTTTAACCAATTGCATGAACTGTTGGTTCCTGGTCCCAGCGGATTTATTCTAGCGGAGATCTCCCATGCCCAGCCTTGAAGGATCCATTTCTTTCTCATGCTGTCTGGGGCTACATGGTGCTGTGGCTCTTTATCCTTCTGACTTGGCCCTTTGGTGATGGTCTTATTACAGCAGAGTCAGCCCTCCTCTGGGCCAAGGCCACGGAAGGGATATGTCCAGGCCCCATTGATGGGAAGTGCTGTGTCCTGGGTGGAGTTCAACCCTTTGTTGCGTGATAGTATGATGACATGACATGTTCTGTGTCATACTGAAAATAACTTCCTTGGAAATGAAGGCTCAGGACGTTATTGTTGAATTACATCATGCTCAATATTAAATGGGCTCTCGTTACAGTCTGGGGAAGTCAAACTACAATCCAGTGTGGGGGATTGTTAAAGTGATTGAAACATGGAAATGAATCTGAACAGAAAGGTCTAAATCTTACCTGGGTTAGCATTATTGTTATAATAAATAATCACAATAATCCCATACATTTTATAGCTTACAAAATCCTTCTTATAGATTACTTCATTTGACTAGGTTGGGGAGAATAAATCTTAAGGTGTAATTTCTCTTAGAAATATCAATCTCTAGTCTATACTACACCTGGCTGCCTTTTTAATGGTCCCAAAGCGCAGCTTCCCCATTCATTCTCCAGCTCAAGAACTTTTAAAAACTTTCTGCATCTAGAGAATAAGCTCCAAATTCCTTATCCTGGCATCGAGGACCCTCCAGGCTCCTCATCCAACTCTCCTGGCACTGTTTCTCTCGATCCTCGTCGTCAGGCATCTCACCTTCATACTGAACTGGAGCACCTGCTTCCCAGGTGCACAACCTGGTTCCTGCACTGGTGCCCTTGTCCACAGAGCCACTTCTCTGTGAAGGCTCTTCCCTCACCTCTTCACAGGCATATGGCTGAGCCAACCCAGCTTGCCACACCCAGCCTCCAGACACTTCCTGAGTTGTCCTGTGGACAGGGACAGGGAGCCTTTGGGCTCCCTTAGCACTTTCTCTGATCCTCCCTGAAGACAGCCTGACCTGTGAAAGTCCAACTTATTTCTTCCAGCTGTAAGTTCCTTTTGGGAAGGACCTAGATTCGATCCTGCTTTGTATCTCCTTCCTCTGCTATTGGGACCCTCCCCATCCTGCCAAGTGACCCGCTCAAGGATCCATAAAATCTTTTGTGTAAAAGGTCAGATGGTATATATTTTCAGCTTTG